CGTGTTTTTAGGCTGTTAAAACTAAAGATCGGATTAAGACGAGATCTTGGTAATTCTTCGGTTTTCGCCCCCCCCCTTCTTTTTCTGACCATTTTTTCATTTTTATTCCCTTTTTTCTTCCCCACGACTATCGTATGTAAAATAGGTACTTAAATATATTGTATACGGGATCCCGAGGGATAATCCCAAAAAATCCCGGATCTCGAAAATCAAAAAAAAAATCCGGGATTTCGGGATCCTGGAAAATTCCGTCGGGATCCCATCCCGCGCCGACCTCCTTGTCACCAGTGATGGGCAAAGTTTCAGTTCCAGTTCCGGAACTAATTAGTTCCAGTTCCGGAACTAGAACTACAGAACTAACGATTATCTGGAACTAGTTTGGAACTAGAACTACGGAACTAGTGAATGCCTGGAACTAGATTGGAACTGGAACTACGGAACTAGTAAATGTCTGGAACTAGCTTTGGAACTAGTTCTGGAACTAGTTCTTGGGGGTATATTTTTGACAAAATTTCCTGGAAAATTGCCTGCAGCGCGCTGAGTATTGAAGAAATCTGGCTGCTTGAACTACTAAAATTAAAAACCTAGTTCTGGAACTGGAACTAATTCCAGAGAAATTTTGGAACTTTCCCATCACTGCTTGTCACACCATAAATACTATTTGACGTATCCGATCCCTAGTCACGTACATATACCTATTTCTTTGAATAACTATAATTTTAAAGTATTTTGTTATCACCCAACATGTGAACCATGATGATTATTCAAACCAAATCCGTTTAAATATTGGAGTGATAAGGAAATACGTTCAAGTTTATTTCGAGCCACAACAAGCAAATCAAGAAGATTTAAATTTGTGGGAAACTATATTTATAAGCTCTAATCATCCCGATTTTGTCTATTTGGTTCAATATCAAGCTACTTATTTTTATCGAGGTAGAAATTTTATTTTCATAAACTATCGATCAGAGAACTACAAACGAGGGTAATTCATGTGGTTCGTCTTTTCTTTTTCCTTCCTCGACGTATTAAAAAATGGTCGGTCCATCTTAGGTTATAGAACTCGTCGAGATGTGTCGAATGACACCAAAATCAACCCCTGGTCTTAACATTGTTCCGAGATACAGACCTCCGAAATTAGAAAAATAACAGGGTGGACCAAGCTCATTTTTTGGCTAAAAGTGCGATTAAATAAATAATAGCTCATTCGGGGGGGGGGGGGGGGGGGGGGGGGTACGAACACAAGAATTACCCAAACGAGGAATTATCAGATCTGTTAAAATCTTTTCTCAGTAAGAGAGCAGTTTAAGTCCCAAGTTAGTCCTAAACAATTTTCGATATCAGACATTTTTAACTATTTACTAATAACTTTAGCTTTGATACATGAACCTGCAAACCAACCGATATACAGATCATTGAGGAAACAGCGTTTTTCTTTGGGTATTGCTGATATTGATCAGATTTCAAGCGGCTTTGCCGTTTTTCACAACCTCGGTATAACAAACATGATTGCCACATCAGCAACTCCGGCTAGTTCTCCTTTCTACCATTTTTTGGGGTTGGCAATGCCTGTTGAAGTGCCAGGTATTTTGTTTAAAATTTAGGTTCCCAGATACCATATTTCTAGTGCGACTCTCTCTTTAGACCAACCCTCTAGAGGAAGGTTAAAAAATAAACAGACCGGTCGCACTTTAAAAGAAATACGGTTGTTTATGTCCAAATTTGTAACTGTTTTTGAAAATATTCTCTATTTTTTGTATTTGTAAATGTGACTGTCATATTTTGCTAAATTTTACCCCGCCTATTTTTCGCAAGTATAAATTTGGGGAACAGGACCAGCCCAAATTTCAGTCCGACTCCATTTATTTTTGAAAAGTTAAGGAGCCCCCCCCCCCACACCCCTCCCCATTTCTATTCACATTTTATTTAATTAAATAAACGTTTTATAAAGAAGGGTGTGTTTAATTTATTCGGTGGACCGCGCTCGCGGGTTGGGTTTGCCCAACTCGCGAGGCCCTACGGTCGCGCTCAATTTAATATAAATGTGACTATTTTTACCGAGAAAATAAAAAATCTCTGGACCTAACGCAGATAATATTTTTGTTTAAAATTTAAGAACTGTACACGGCTCAGCCAGGTGATGGACTTGCAAATTCTGAAATTCGTCGTGGTGGCAGCCTAAGACAAAACGAAAATATACGTGAAATTAAACATTTAATTAATACATATCAACAAATATACGGGAATGCTTATTCAAATCAAAATATTCCTCCACTATGGCAAATAATCGCAAATGTTCGCTACTTGTTGATAAATCATTCTCAGATTGCTGCATATCCCCGACCTATTAATGACAAAATTGGATTTTTTGGAGGAATTGCTATTAACACGCATAGATATTTAGATTTCTACTCAAAAGTTATGACTGATCAAGTGATAGAACCTGTCTGGAATGTTGAAGATGATGAATATAGTTTCCTAAATAATGTATGTTTTAGCTAGTTGAATTTGCATTAAGCTTCATTTTTTACTTGATAGAGTTAGGTGGTCGTTAGCTTAAATATGAACCATCCATTAAACCAGATTATAGAGTTTTTTTTCCACTTTCCACTTTGCCGGGCCCGGTATCCGGGTTTTTTCTTCCAATCCGACCCGTGCCTGGCTTCCGGGCTAAAAACCTCGAACACCTAGAAAAACCGGATTTTATCAAAATACCCGTTTGCGGGCTACCAGGCCCGGAAAACCTGGCCCGGCCGGGTCCGAACTCTACTAGATTGCTTAAAATTTTCTCAAATTTCTCTAAAGATCCTTAATTAACTCATAATGAATTTGAAAAATATATTAGTAGGTATTGTAAGCCCCGGACTCGAGACTCGATACTTATAAATTTATTCAAGTCCCGACCCTCTGAAGGTGGTCCAGACCGAAAGGTCTGAGCCGCATAATTGTATTTTACCATTTTGGCAAAAATTTCTGAAATTCTCTGCAACCAATAAATTCTTATTCAAAAAGTTAAATTTATTTTCAGTCCGAATGTGTTGTAGTTTTCAATTTTGGTACAACAATTACATTTCATGGAATTAACACAAATCAAGTAAAGAGCATTTTCAATACTTTTGAAGGACGTCAGAATTGTAACTTTATTTTTCGAGCTGATTCGACTATTGCATTGTATGCTAATCATTATTTACGAGTACCAGACAATGTACACTTATTTTATGTCAATATTGATATGCAAAGGATTCTCGGTAGTTTTTTACATTTAAAATATGATTATTTATTGAGCCGTTAATATAACAATTTCTTTATAACATTAAACAATAAGGGTCAGAAAGAACAATTATTTTACTCAATTTTATCCTATTTTAAATGTTTATTAATTTTGTGAATGAAAAAAGGGTCAGAGAGTGACAACTAAGTGATTAAATGGGAACGAACAAACTGACTTAAATGGGGGAGTAATTGTTATGTACTTGACTTCTATGTCTACGTACTAACAAGAATAACAAGATAAGACAGACTAATAAACTGTGTTTTATCTACAATACTAAATACAATAGTTGCGTACAATAAGAATATGGCGCCGAATACGTTAGATACAGAATAGAATAACAATAGACTAAGACCGCAACTGAATAATAGGAAGGCTTTTATACTAAGTCAATACCTAACAGTAATGCACTTATATAGGTCGGTATCAAGCATTAAAATGCAATTTATTTAACCGTTCGAATGAGTTATCATTTCTAAAATCGAACATTTTAATCTATCTAAAATATAGTAACAACAATTTTTAAATATTAAAGCGCAACGTAACACAAAATTGGCCATAATTAATTGTGAACAAGACAGCCTAAACGAGGTAAATGTTTTTATAAAAAAGTGATCTTATAAGGAGATCATTTTAGATATTAAGATAAGGTAAGCAATGCAATGGAGCATTGCATTGCTTACCTTATCTTAATATCTTAAGCAATGCCCCATCATTACTTTAGCAATAGTTTAATATCAAATTATAGTAAAATCTCATTAAAATTCAGGCTTTATATGCTGGCGTCCCGGTCATTTGTATACCATTTTTGGATGATCAACATTACAATGCATCTGTTGTTGAAATTCTTCGTGTGGGAATGTGGGTTCCCGCTCCAAATTTGGAAAATGAATTTCAATTTGCTGTTAATGCTTTGCTAAATGAGTGCGTTTCTATAGATTTTCCAAATTCTATTTTAGTCCAAATTCAATTTTTATGAAAGAATAGTCTGATCATATGGAGAAGGACAGACTTTTCAGGAATTTTTTAAACCATGCCTAACTTAAAAATTGTTGTGTATGGGTGCGAGCCCTTGAACGAGTTAGTATAAAAGCCAGCCAATAGTTAGTTCTCTCCTCTTACACTTAGTCTTTTTGATTCTCTTCATTCTACATACCTCAACCTTAATTGTATTTCTACGTGGATATACTCTTTCTTGTGTGTGTTCAGTCGTTTACATTAGCAAGTCTCGGATATAACGCATATGCATTAATTACCATTTATAAATATTCTCAATCAAAATTAAAATAACATATCTTTTAGTTACGGATACTTAGCAAGAGCTCATCAATTTGCTGTGGGACTCCACAATGAACAAACTCAACCTATACAAAAATTTCTTAATGCAGTTCGAAATGCTATAGACTCTGTTGTTCCATTTGACCACTCAATTCAATTGAGAGACATTGAATTTGTTGATCAAGGGTAAGTTTGTTTTGTTATAGTGGAGTTTTTCGATTTTCATGTCTCGATACAAGTAACGATCAGTCTGCCGTTTTTTAAACGCAGCAGGGCCCAGCTGAGGCAGTCCAAAGTACCGCCGAAATAACTCAGTCATAACGATCAATCCGAGATAACCTGGTCGATGAAACTTGATGAGAACCATACCAGGACGTCACGGATTCGATAATACCCCTCCCTGAGATTGAATTTAATATTAAACAATTTTTAATAGTAGAGAAAGACACAGTGGGGGAAGTATTAGTAGAAGACATAGTGAAGGAAGTACTAGAGGAAGTCATATTGAAGGGAGTACTAGTAGAGGAAGACATGATGAAGGACATGATGAAGGAAGTACTAGTAGAGGAAGACATGATGAAGGAAGTACTATTGGAGGAAGACTTAGTGAAGGAAGTATTAGTAGAGGAGGACATAGTGAAGGAAGTACTAGTAGAAGAAGACCTATGGAAGGAAGTACTAGAAGAAGTAGACTCAGTCGACTAAGTAGAAGAAGATCTAGTGATGAAAGACCAAGTACACTAAATAACTTGAATAAAAGCCTAATAAAATTATTTTCAGAAATCCTCTATCTAGCAGACAGCAGAGATTATACCCATATGCATTTATCGGTAAGTAAGAGCATTGGGAAATTGGACGTAATTATTTTCATCATAGAGGATAAATCTCTTGTCAACTGGGAATAAGCCCGTATTTCTTTGTCATGTCCAATTTTCGGTAATCATGTAGAATCTGGGATACATCTAAAAAATTTGCTTGTTTTTTTCTGAAAATAGTTTTCTATAGGTAATTGACCCTGCTGAGTCCGAATCTGAGCCTAGAATTCGTTTATTTCGAACCCCGGACCCGAATTCGACCAAGTCGAATTCGGGGTAAAAAATTCGAAATTAAAAATTTAGGGATAATCTGACACGCCTATTCGAGCTGAGTCGATTGGTATCAAAATTATTCAGTTTCGACAACTTTGGACGAAGTTATGGATCTGATTTATAGACGGAAGTCTAACCCAACGTTATTTAATTGATCATAACTTCGTCCAATGTTGTCGAAACTGAATAATTTTGATACCAATCGACTCAGCTCGAATAGTCGTGTCAGATTAGCCCTAAATTTAATTTCGAATTCTTAACCCGAATTCGACTTGGTCGAATTCGGGGCCGGGGTTCGAAATAAACGAATTCTAGGCTCAGATTCGGACTCAGCAGGGCCGATTACCTAAATAATATTGTTTCCAGAAAAAAGTATTAAGTCTTAAGGTATTTGTAAGGTGTATCCCAGATTCTACAAGATTACCCCATTTTCCATTTTTATAATTTTATTTATTTATAATTAGGGACTAACAATATTTTATACATATTTAAGGCAAGATTAGCGAATATACTCGATTCAAATGGATATTGTGTGGTTAGTTTTTAGTCTATAATTCTATAATTATGTATTTTAAGTATTTTGTTATCGCCATAGACGTTGATCAAAATGATGCTCAATTAAACCAATTCAATTTAAGGGATGGATTGAATAAATTATTCATTCAAGCTGATTATATGCCACAATACGAAAATGTAGATCTTTGGGAAAAAGAATTTATAAACTCTAAAGTTCCCGAGTTTACGCGTATTGTTCGTTATCAAGCTGTCTATTTTTATGAAGGTAAAATTTTTTCATAAACTATTAATAATGTTAGCTATGGACTGGAATTGAGAATTTGTTGAGATAATTTCCCGGTCAATGCGATAGTATTAGTCCTAACTTACAATGAAATATACTCAAATGCTTGTCTTGTTATCTATAGCACTATTATTAACTATCAATTTAGCTTTGATGCATGAAACAAACAAATCAGAATTAAATACATTGAAGGGAACAGATTTTGCTTTGGGTATTGCAGACATTGGTCACAATCCAAGCGGCTTTGCAATTTTTCACCAACTCGGTATAAAAAACATGATTGCCACATCAGCAACTCCGGCTAGTTCTCCTTTCTACCATTTTTTGGGATTGGCAATACCTGTTGAAGTGCCAGGTATTTTTTTAAAATTAGGACATGATTTAACATGTTTATAAAATTTTTAAAATTTTAACCCGACATCCAAAAATTGGGTATTTGACTTATAGTGGGTTTTTTTGGCTGGACCGATTTCGACAAATGAGGTGTCATTCGAAAGAGCTTCGAAAACTGAGTCGAACTAGATATGGGGGAAGTCGGTCCGACAATCAGGGGCCGAGTTACAGACCCCTGAAGTTTGAAAAAGAGAAGGGGGGAGTAAGCTCAAATTGGTTTAAAAATTCGAAAATGCAAATAATAGATCATTCGACTCTTCACGACGAGCTGAGTCGAATGACACCAAAATCACCGAAATCCGACTTGATTGGACAAAGTTATGATCGTTTGTTTTAGCTCCTTACCTATGGTCTATGTGGAGGTTTTTGTTGCTACGGAGGCCCCAAGTACGTCCAGAGTAAGGGAAATAGGAATAGGGTTATGTTACTGGCCCAGACCCAGCGACCGTTGACGCCCCGCGAGGCGCGTGCCGCGAAACCCCGCGCGAAGCGCGGGGTTTCGCACAAGCGCCTCGCCGACGCTCCATAGGTTTATGTTGATCATTTTGAACCTGTTTATCTTGGCTCAGAATCAAGATATCGAGCTGATTTTGGTGTCATTCGACTCAGCTCGTCGAGTGGAGTCGAATGAGCTATTATTTGCATTTTTGAATTTCAACCCAATTTGAGCTTACTCCCCCTTCTCTTTTTCAAACTTCAGGGGTCTGTATCTCGGTCCCTGATTGTTGGACCGACTTCCCCCATATCTAGTTCGACTCAGTTTTCGAAGCTCTTTCGAATGACACCTCATTTGTCGAAATCGGTCCAGCCAAAAAAACCCACTATAAGTCACAACATTCCAAAAATTTATAAAACAAAAATTAATTTTTAAATCTAACAATTTTACCAAGAAAATAACCTATTAATATCTTTATTTCAAATTAAAGAACTTTATACGGCAAGGTCAGGTGATGGATTTACAAATTCTGAAATTCGTCGTGGTGGGAGCCAAAGACAAAACGAAAATATACGTGAAATTAAACGTTTAATTCAAATTTATAGTCGAGGATATCGTGATTCATTTTTTCGAGAAAATGGACTTCCTCCACTATGGCAAATAATTGCAAATGTTCGCTACTTGTTGATAAATCATTCTCAGATTGCTGCATATCCCCGACCTATTAATGAGAAAATAGGATTTATTGGAGGAATTGCTATCGAACAGGAAAAATTGGGAATGTTTTGGTCAAAAATTATGTCTGATCATTCGATCCAGCCTGATTGGGATGGTGAATATGAGTTCCTAAAAAATGTACGTATTAACGGTATTTATGATATAAATATACAGGTGCGGCTAATTCGCGCAACACACAGCCGGCCGACCTTGCTGAGCTACAAGTACGCATGCGTTTAACGAACTGCCACAAGAAATCATTAATAGCGCCATTAGTACCTATGAAAATCGCCTTGAGAAATGCATAGAGAATAATGGGAAATGTGTTAAACTTAGATAGGAATTTTATACAGTTATTGTTATTATTTATGATTGTATTTGTTATCATTAAATTTGTTAAAGTGTTAGGTTTAAAATAAAAAAAGAATTATCGATTTTCGATGAGAATGAAGAAAGTTATGTTGAAAACAAAAGGTTGCGTGAATTTGCCGCACCCTGTATAAAAGTGATTAGTAAACAATGAACAGTAATAAAATGTAAAATTTGGGTGGATAATAATTCGAAATTTAAAGAAATCAGACTGATATAATTTTTTATTTAATTTCAGTCCAAATGTGTTGTAGTTGTCACTTTTGGCACAAAAATTTCATTTCATGGAATTAACCCAGGCCAAGTATTGAGCATTTTTAATGCTTTTAGAAAACATCAAAATTGCGAATTTATCATTCTTGCTGATACGACTATTCACTATTATGTTGATGACAATTTACAACTTCCACCCAATGTGCATTTATTTTCTATAGATCTGAAAGGGATAGTTGGTAACCTTTAAATAATTTTCCTTGAGAATAACAAACTGATTATCATTATTTTCGCCGGTTGTTCGTTATTTATTGACGGTACAATTATTAGTGATACGCAGTTGCGGATAAGGTAATTCACATATAAAATAAAGAACAAAGAGATAATTAAAGTTTTAGTTTTTCATTACCTTAACTGTTGTCCGGGATGCCTTGGTATGGTTCGATGCGCATCGACGAGCTGAATCGAACTATACCAAGACTTCCTGGATTCGATAATTCTGAACGAAGTTACAGCTCTGCGGTAAGATTGGCTCGCGGTAAGTTGGGGTGTACCCAAAAATTTGTTATCCGGATTTGTCATCCGCAAGTATCGCATCTAAAATTATCTTAACAACTATTTTTAAATATTAAAGCGCATCCGCACACAAAGTTAGCAATAATTGATTGTGGACAAGACAGCTTAAACGAGGTAAATATTTGGAGTAATCCTTCAATCGTTCGAGGACTAAGGTTGACGGATAGTGGGAAATCTTCGGATAGATATCCCGGACCGAATTTATCATTCTTGCTGATATCCGAATCAAAATTTCGGATATTCGGCCTTTTTTCGGTCTTCGGATATCCGGATCCGCCAACTTTATTGAGGACCGTCTAAACAAAATTATGGTAAAATTCCATCAAATTTCAGGCTTTATATGCTGGTGTCCCGGTCATTTGTATACCATTTTTTGGTGATCAACGTTACAATGCGTCTGTTGTTGAATATCTTGGTTTGGGAATGTGGGTTTCTGCTATAAATTTGGAAAATGAAGTTCAAAACGCTGTCGACTGTTTGTTAAATCCGGCGTGAGTTTTAACAATAATAATTAGAATAGAAAATATTTTGATGGTAAAAAAATTTTAGATACGGATACTATATAAGAGCACGAAATTTTGCTCGGCAACTTAACTCTCAAGAACCTACACCTATACAAAAATTTCTTAATGCAGTTCACGATGCTATTAGCTTTGACGTTCCATATGACCACTCAATTCAATTGGGAGACATTCAATTTGTTAATCAAGAGTAAGCTTTTCTTACAATTAATTTCTGGACTAAGGAACATTAGGTTGAGACAAATAATGAGCCCCTTGATTTAAAAAACGATATCTTTTTCTACTACTAAACAGATTTATCTAATTTATTTTCTACATAAAAACGGTTATATCTATCGTTGATGCAAATTTCTTTTCATTAATACCGATTATAATAAAGTAACAGGCCTATGTACTTCACTCACCATATCCAAAATTTATTTATGGAACATATGTATTTTGTTTGTGGTCTAAATTTTCTGCTTGCACTGTAAATAAAGTCTTTTATTATCATAACGGAAAATAATTCAAATTCTGATAACATTTTGTTTAATTTTAATAATTATTCAATCCGTTTAACTCAATATGAGGGTGGAAGACATTGCGGTAATTCTTCGGTTCGTACCCCCCACTCCTTTTTCCTTCCTCAAAGTGCTAAAAAAATGGTCAGTCAATCTTATGTTATAGAACTCGTCGAGCTGAGTCGAATGACACCAAAATCAACGTGATTGGACAAGATTTGACAAAGTTATGACATTAAGTAGACCTAACTGAGTCGGCGACTTATGTCATAACTTTGTCAAAACTTGATTAATCAAGTTGATTTTGGTGAAATCCGACTCAGCTCGAAGAGCTCTTTCGAATGAGCTATCATTTGTATAAATTTTCGTACTTATGGTTTTTCGCCCCCATGGTTGTTCAATTTTCAGGGGTCTGTATCTCGGTCCAACCAAGTCGGATTTTTTTGATTTTGGTGTCATTCGACACAGCTCGACGGGTTCTATAATCTAAGACTGACTGACCATTTTTTAATACTTTTAGGGAAGAAAAAAGAGTGGGGGGTACGAACCGAAGAATTACCGACATTGCTTATGTCTCAACCAAAGTAATTAAGGTTTAATGAGAGAATGTGTTAGACTAGATTATATTATCTATAACCTATTTAAATTTTAAAATACTATATTCCTTTCTTAAAAAATTTTTAAATTTAGTTTATAAGAAATTTAACCAAAGAAGGATTGGAAAGATGATTTGAGGAGCGATATGCTAATGATGTCACTATATCTTTTTCGGCTCTTTTCGATTTTGTGCCTCATATTAGGGATCTCTTCCAACTTCGGTCTATGTCATAATTAGTTTTGTTAGGCCCTTTCATTTCGACTTCTGTCTACCTCTTTTTTTAATATACCGTATTTTTTGTATTAGAGCCCCACGTTGAATTAGAGCCCCACCTTCAAGGATAGTTGAAAAATAGAGCCCCGCGCTGAATTAGAGCTCCTATATTCGATTAATCCCCAAATCATTGATACTCCCCAAATCCCTCGACATCCATATTAATTCCAAAATATCTTCTTAATCACATCTATATCCTTCAATTAGGACTGAACCGAGGTATATACACTAAGGATGAACCGTGCGGACTGTAGCAAAATAGAATTGAACCTTCAAAGGCTCAATTGGATTCGAACTGTACACGCGTAACTATACACTTAAGAAATATCCCAATGGCGAAATTTGTTTTTGTGATTAAATTCTAACATTTGAAAAATATAGTTAAACTTATAATTGAAAATTCTATTAACTATTTTCAAAAATAGGCTGAAAAATAGAGCCCCACGCTCAATTAGAACCCACGCTGTAATAAAGCCCCACTTTGGAGGATAGTTGAAAGATAGAACCCCATGGGGCTCTAATACAAAATTACGGTATGTATTATTTATTATTACCTCTTATGCAGATTAACACAGTTTTTATAAAACATTCTAGAAATATGCACAGTTTTTTACCTAAAATATTCAAAATATTTTTTAGGAATAATCTAACTAAAATTAATTTTGGCTAATTTTTTAACCCAAAATATATAAAAATAATTTGGAATTTAATTGAAAAACGGTGAAAATAATATAAATTTATAAAATTTTTAAGATTTTAGGCTTTTTTTCTTGTGCATATTCCTTGAACTTCAATTTATTATAATTTATTTACATTTTTAAATCTTTTTATTTACTATAGATTTTTTTCTTATGATTTCAGGATAAACTTTTATTTAGGCAAAGACAATAGGACAGTTTAAAAATCATGATGATCCCGGCACGGAATCATGATAAACTCTGCCAGAGTCATCGAAAAATAAAATTTTTCTTTTTTACCCTAATGCCGGTCCTAAAAATTTTAGTCCATAAAAAAAACAAGTCCGCGAAGTTCGCACCACGCAGTTTCATAGAAAAATTTTTTTAAAGGATAGTTCGTTTAAGGTTTGGCATTTTTTGAGTTTGATAAAAACTAGGCAAGTATTGGCCACTAGATTTTTAAAGAAATTAAGGAAAAGTATAAACATCCAAAAAAAATTTTTCAAAAAAGCAATCCAAATCAACGTTTGAATGGCATGCTCGCAAGTGCTGTCTGAACACTGTGACCAAGCGGCAGGTTTTGTCTGCTCCCTTTCGGGCCTGAACCGTTGCCCTGCTCTTTAAATAACCAGGAGCACTAACGTTCCCGCTAGCGCCCCTTGTTGACTTGGCCCTTGCTCTAGACACTCGCTCTGTGCACACCCGTCAATTGGTGCTTTTGCCTCCTAGAAACTGGACTACAAGCGCCCGCCACGACGCTCGGCGAAAGTGAATTAAATTTTATTGCTTATATGCTTTGCAGTAATATTATAATTTTGCTTCTTTTGACCATTTTGATTTTAGACATTTTGTAATTTCGTGTTAAAACGAAAGGGACAACTGTGCACCAGCGAGATTTGATTGACTATAACTTTTTTTTTCTTGGTCCGATCAAAGTGAAACTTATATCATTCGAAAGCTCTCGAAAAGCTCTATCTTTTACCTCTTTGGAAGGATCAAGTCTGATCACTCAAAAGAAAGTTATAGCCTGATAAACGTGAAAAACACCAAATAATTGGACATATCGTCTTGTAACTTGATAACGGGTGATTAGACTTGATCCACCCAATTGGGAAAAAAATACCGCTTTTCGAGAGCTTTCGAATGATATAATATTTAAACAGATTGGATCAAGACTGAAAAAAGTTGTGGCCGATCAAATCCGACTAGCACTTATCTTCCGCACTCAACTGACCCCAACACATCATTTTTTATTTTGTCTGTAAAGCGTTCGATTATCGACTACGGCATTTTTTTTTTACTTTAATGCCAACTTGTATCGATGGTTATCGTGTATTTGTTATGGGAAAGTCAGTGGTTATTGACTCATTCTTAGAGAAATTTTGTGATTTTTCCTTTAAAAATGATCAGAGATTTCAAGCTTTGACAAATACCATTTTTGAGGGTTGAGGGAAGTATTAAACATTTTATTCCTGGAAATGGTCTACATTTTTAGTCCAGGCCCTGACATTTTAGTTTTTCCCTGTTTGATAGGTGTTGGTTTTTTCCTGGTTTTATTTTCTGCAGGAAGTCTAGGGCCTTCGAGCCCAACACGAGAATCAGGAATGGAGGGCCTTTCAGAGTTTCCTTTTGTTTACTGGACGTTGGTTCTTTTCTTCTATTTCCTAGATCAAGGATTAGCCAAGTTAAAGTATCGGGCGATTTAAAAAAATTTTTTTGAATCTAGCTTCGGTTTTCCGAGTCGAAAAATGTCCGAGTCTTTGGGACCAAATGTCTCAATTCTGCAGGAAGTCTAGGGTCTTTCGAGGGGGCCTTACAGTTTCACCTTTCCCAACTCTGACGGAAATCCAGTTTTCTTATCAATTTCTGGGGGCTACCCAATTAGGCGCGCGCCCATATCGGCGCAAAGCCATAACTTGCTGGAAAATTTTTGGCCCTTTTCAATTTTGGTACCAATTTCTTTAACACGATGAGAGGAAGCGTTTGATACTAAATTTGGTAAGATTCGGAAATTTTGAAGCAAGTTATGGCCAGGCGCCGTTATGGGCGCGCGCCTAGCTGTACCCCCATTTTCTGGGGCTACCCCAATTTTCTCTCGATTTTTCATTTTTCTTTCTTAATTTTTTAATATTTTCAAGCCTTTTTCTAGTTATTTAAATATAAAAAATTTATTTTAACACAAACTTTTTTTAAAAAATGCCTTCTGTTGAAAACAAAACTTTGGATAGTGTTAGCGAACAAATGGCGGGTATGGCATTAACGTCAACAGAGCGTAATAACAAACAACAAGTTGAAGACAGGGAGAGAGATGGATCTAATAACAGCGGGGTTTGTGTTTAAAAAATTGGTTGGAGAGAGGTTTAATTTTTTTTGGATTTTAGGGGGGGAGGGGTGAAAGGGATTTTGGGGGTTGCCGTTTTCGAGTCGGCCGACGGTCGAGGCATTTTTTCGGGCTTGTTTTTTTGAGTCGGGCCGGTACGAGTCTTTTTCGGGCCAAATATCTTAGGCCCAACTCGTTCTTTTGGTCCGAGTCGGGCCATTTTGTCAACCTAGAAGGGGTAGTAGTGGTTGGAATTTTTGATTTTCTTTTTGGGTTATTGATTAGGATATACTTGAATATGTGACTTGTTTTTGCTTTGTTTTCTTGGACTTTCTAGGTTTTTCTTGTAGCTTTCAGAAGGGAATAGAAAGAAAAGAAGAGCTTTCTGAGATCTAAAGGTTTCTTAGAAGTTCCGAAAATTTTTTCGGAAATTGGAAGGAAAAAAACGCCGGAAATTGGAATTACGACCCACTTGTTTTGGAGCATGTACAGGGGAAAATAGGAAAATTTAAGGAATAAACTTTCTCTTCATTTTTTACTTTCTTCCCCCATTTTTTCCTCACCCTCCCAATTAATTTAAAAATAAATTTTAAGAATGATCAAGCAACAAACGACAAAACTGAAAATAACGGTTATGATTCAAAAACAATTGTTGAACAAAATGAAATTGTTGTTGAGGACAGTGATGAGCCGAATGATGATGGGACTGAACAAAAGTTTATTTTTTTTGGGGAATTTTTGGAGTTTCAATTTTTTTGTTTAGAAAAATTTTCTGTGGCGGAATTAGCTATGACACAACTGGGGATGATTTGGCTTCGCATTTCTCGCAGTTTGGTTCTATTAAGGAAGCTCAAGTTAAATACGATCGGATGGTATATTTTTTTGATTAAATTTTATTCAAATTAGTGACCGGTGGAAAAACGTCTGTCCGGATTTTTTGTTTCTTATGCAAATGTGAAGCTGAAAAATTCGTTGGTCATGTAAGAGCAGCAGAGAAAGCAGAGTGGCAAAATGCACTGTTCTGCTTCTCGTTTATAACGCAGTGATCGTTTTCCGGATTTTTGTTTAACACAATGCGAAAGCGTGGGCATAAGAAACAAAAAATTCGGACAGGCGTTTTTTCACCGGTCACTCTTTGCGTGGACCGGTGAACCTCCGAATTAGAGCCCCCTCCTTAATAAATTCCCCGTTTCGAGGATGATTGAAAATAGAGCCGCACCCCGAATTAAAGCCCACTCTTTAATATACCCCCCGTTTTCGGGATAGGTGAATAGAGCCCCATGAGTATCTAATACAGCAAATACGGTAGATTTATATGGAGGAAGGAACTTAGATCAATCTGATCCATTGAAGAAAGAAAAATGTGGCGGTAATAGTGTCGTTTCCCAGCCCCCTTTTTTTCCTCCCAATTTTCTACCCTATGTTTGTACGGAATGGTCAAATTTTCCCCTTTCTTTCATCAAATTTGCCTTTCCATATTTTGCCTAAAAACAATCAAAAAAGATTAATTTTTTATTTTTGGTTGTACACCGCCAACATCCATATCTTTCGTCTTTCTTAACACTTATTGTTGTTCGACCCCCACATTTGTAGCAAGTTCTCTTTCCATGAAGAAGTCCAAGCTTCTCAAGCCATGCATCGAAATCATTATTACTCAAACGTAATTTTTCATATAAATCAATAGGTTTGAAATTCTTTAGTTCTTCCATTTTTATTAATTGGGAAAATGATTCTTCTCATTACTCTAATACTTTTTTAATTATCACAAATTAATCTTTTTGATTGTTTTTAGGCAAAATATGGAAAGGCAAATTTGATGAAAGAAAGGGGAAAATTTGACCATTCCGTACAAACATAGGGTAGAAAATTGGGGGAAAAAAAAAGGGGGCTGGGAAACGACACTATTACCAATGTGGCAAAACTAGTAATTACTTTTCCATATTTTTAAAAATAGTTCTTTCTGTTACTCATTTTTTTACCGAGGAATGCCCTTTAATTCAGCTTTAAAAATTTTATTCTCATAGACATTTGTCATTTAAATTATCGATTTATTGATTTTTTCATTAAAAAAGACTGGACGCTCTCGCGGATTTGCTTTTGTCGAGTTTGAGACGGTTGATGGCTGTAGAGCTTCACTGACACTTCGTGAACAGACAATTAAAGGAAAACAATGTGAAATCAAGCCTGCAAAAACGCGTGAAGTTGGATATATGGTTTTATTTTTTTAAAAGATTTTTTGATTTTTAAATATTTTTTTAGAACAAGAAAGTGTTTGTTGGTGGTTTGCCAATTGATTTTTCAGGTTTATAAATTAATTTTGGATTTTTTGTAAGGAAATTGTTGGGTGTTTCTATGATAGCGTCCAAACCTTTTTGAATTTTTTGAAAGATTTTTTTGTTAATTTTTAATTCCAGTTATAGCTCTGTTTGTTTGTCACCGGTTATGAATTGGTATTTATTGTTGGATTTTTCGGTCAGGCCTGTAGTCAGGGGGAAATCTTGGCTATGGGTCTGTTTTCGATTATGCGTCCAAACCTTTTGGGTTTCAACCCCTGGCTGAAACCCGGTTATTACGGCTCATTTTTTTTGTTTTATTTGGACCATTTTTGGGTATCATTTTGGGTTAGGTTAAATTAGGGTTGTCGTTTCATTTCTCCCCAATTCGTTCGATTTAGATCCCTTCACTCTTTTTTAAAATTTATATTTTATAGAGAACGAGCTGCGCGAGCATTTCCAGCAATATGGACGTGTTGAAGATGTGGAGTGGCCATTGGACAAAGTTAGCAAGGCACGCAAAAGTTTTGCGTTTGTTGTTTTTGAATCTGAAGAGGCTGCTGAAAAAGCTGCTGCTCATCCTAAACATCATTTTGCTGATCGAGAGGTTTTCTCTTTTAAATTTTGGTGGTTTCCGATTGTTTCCCTCCACTTTTGGTTTATTCTCTTCTTTTCTCCATTCTCTTATAAATTATGAGGGGTTGTCCATAGAGCTGTCCAAGGCCGAATATTAAAAAAAACTCAAGACTGCCCCAATACTTAAGAAGACCCAGTAAATCTTAGATCATGGCTCAAGATTACGAGCGGCTCAAGATTATTATTGCCAGCTCTAGTGGTCCATAATGGTCAGGGGACTAATGATATATTGGAATCACGCTAATGTTTCTTCCCACTCGTATTTTGTTCTCTCACTTGGTGGGTCAAGTAGGTCCTAAGGGCAACATATTAGAGGGGTTCTTTGCTTAAGTTAGTACATCTTTTTTTATTACGATTTTTTACTAAAATATCTGCCTAATCGTTATGTGCGCCTTGAACATTATTAATTATAAGAAAATGGAGAAATGAAAGGAGAAAATTAGGATTCTGCATGACCGGTTGAATTTCGTCTGTGTCAGCTTGAATGAGAATTATACGAGCATTTAAGCTGGCACAGACTAAAATTCTCTAGTCATTCACACAACCCTAGAGAATATGAGGGATAATCCGGAACTAACGAAATTTAAACTTTTTGTGTTTCTTTCCAGTGTGACGTCAAAAAAGCTGTCCCACAAAGTCGTCGACCTCATTTTGGAGGTATTGGGAACTTTTCTCGTTCAACGGGTGGTGGACTTCTTTTGCGTGGAGGTTATGGTGGTGGAGGTATTAGATGTCCAGCAAGTGGGGGTGGTGGTGGAAATTCTGCTTATTTGACTGGTGGGGGCGGTGGAGGTGATTCTCATCTTCACCATCAACAACACCATCAACCTCAACATCAAATGCAATTGTATTATCCTCCACATCAAGCTGCTCAAACTTCGGCGGCTGCTTGGTATCACCAGATGAATGCTACTGCTGCATGGTTTTTTTAAAATTATTTTTAATATTTTTGGAAATCGGTTAATTTTTGGCCCTAAAATGGAGAAGACTTTGAGCGCCATAGGGAAAGATTAATCGGTCGCCAATTTTTTAGTGTCAAAGTCGGGTTTTAAGTTTTTTGGGGAGATGAATCACATTTGGGGGATGTGATTCACCTCTCCTCACATTTGGGGGAGAGGGAAGAATATAAGAGCATTTGAGCTGCCATAGGGAAGGATTAATCGGTTGCCAATTTTTTTATCATCGAGGTTTCGTTATAAAGATTTTTGAGGAAGTGAAACACATTTGAGGGAATTTACAGGGCGTTTTTGACAACAATTTCAAATTTTGAAAGATCACAACTTCCTACCTAAAAATTCTCAAATTTTTCTGGGTCTATTATGAAACACTTTAAGCAATTTATATCCAGAATTTCAACCTTTACAAAAAATTTTTTAAACTATTTTTACGTTGAAAACTTTCTATTAACCGACCAAGTACATATAAGTCCAGGACGTATCCAGGGGCTTGGGTGTGTGCGCCCCTGACCGTATCCAAGGGGCTTGGGTATTCGCTCCTGAGTGTATCCAGGTGCGCACACCCTCTCCCGAAACAGACTCTCGGGATACGCCTTTGGTACATATAAATAGAAAAATTAGTATTTCTTAATTATTTCTAATTTCTCTAAAATTAAAAGGTATAACGCTGCTTACAATGGAGGTGCTTGGTATGGTGCTGCACCCACCGCTGCTTCATCTACAGCTGTTGCTGCTCCTCAATTTCCAACTTGATCTACTACTACAATTAAAATATATATCTAAATATATTGCTCAAATCTTTCTCTTCTCTAAAAAAATGTTTTATTGGCTACGGCGTGGAAAAAAATGTTAAGTTTTGAGATTTATTTTAAACAAAAAAAACAAAAAAAGCCCTAATTTTGTTTGTGTTTTATTATTCCTTTTAGTATAAAAAAAATTATTATTTGAGCAAAAAAAAGTCCTCCCCCAAAAAATTTCTTTTCGATCCTTTTATTTGTTTGTTGTTTTATTAATTCCTTTTAAATATATTTTTGTGGGGGTTTTTCCTTTGAAAAAAAATTTTTTTAAGAAGATGATTAACTTAAAATTGTTCCTAGTTTAGACGTAGGACATATCGGGATATTTCAATGTACGAACAGTTACCCTACTGATTTCGGGACCTACGCGGCCAATGGGTCTTGGATAGTATATTGTCTTGTTGAGGAATAGAGTTTTTATGTTTTAGAACAAATGTAAACACGCGGCAAATTATTTTTGTCACCCCAATCCTGATATGTCCGCACACCAGATTTATAGGTGTATTGAATTAGGCGATTTTTAAAATTAAAGACCTTGAAAAAATTAAAAAAAAATTTTTTTGTAAAGTTAAGTCTAAGCGTGCTGAATTCTTTTTTTAGTTTTAAACTTTCAAATTATTTGAATTTTAAAGAGAAAAAAAACACAAAAATATTGAATACCCACCCACTATTTACCTATCTGTTACCTATATTATTTTATATATTTATTCAAAATTGTTGTAACTATGTTCATTACATGTTTATGTCTCAATGTAGAACAATAATTTTATTTTTTTTTAAATCTTTAAAAAATGAAAAGAGAAAAGGCGAATTTTTCTAACGATGGGAGAAGAGGGTTTGGGAAATTTAGAGGGGTTTTAGGAAATTTTTTTGAAAGTTTAACGGAATTTATTAATTTGAGGGAATTTTTAAGAAACAAAACAAATTATCTTCCCATCAAAAAAAATTTTTTTTAAATCGCTTTAAGATTAAAAAAAATTTTTTAAACAACTAAAAATAGGTAAAAATTATAAAATTTTAGCCTACCAAAAATATTTTTTCTTTATTATTTTATGTTTTTCTCTTTGTTTTACTCTCATTTCCTCTCCACTACATAAAAATTAAAAAAAAATTTTTTTTTGTTGATTTATGTTTTAATTACTAAATGTGTTGTTTACTCAACATTTATGCCTTTACACAAGTTTTTTTCTATTCAAAAACACGCGTTAATTATTTTTTGTTGTTGAAAGATTGAAAAGAAGAGAGAGGTCTGAGCTGTAAATTTAAAATTTTTTAATTCTCGATTAGCAGGAAATTATTAAAATGGACCTTTTAGCTATAATTATTTTTAGCTGTCTTTTTAAATTTTTTTGGCCAATTTTTTTAAATTATTAGTGAGTTCGGACGGACATGAGACACTTTTATTTAATTTATAAATTTTCGAAAAAAATTTTTTAGTCCAAAAAAATTTTTTAACATCTCAGACTTCTCACTTTTCCCTGTTTTTACCCTTATACAAAGCTCATTTAAGGGTAGAGTAAAGTATATTTATGCTTAAAATTATCTTTTTTAAGCTAAATTATTTAGTCAAGAAATGTCACTCATGTTTAAGAAATACCTATAAAATTGTTTAGGTTTTGGCTAATTTTCCGAAAAAATGCCTTGAACATTCTTCCCCCAATTATCTATTACAAAATGCTCTCTTTATTTATTATAATTATAGTCCTTTGTATTTTCGACTTTCCTTGTTTAATTTTTATTTAAAAACACACGCTTAAATTATGTAATAGAGGATCAGAATTTTTTTAATAGAGGATCAGAATTACAAAAATCAGAATTTTAAATGAAAATACAAAAATCAGATTAAAAATACAGCTCTGAAAATTTTTTTAAATTTTCTATTAATTACCCACCATTAATAAAAAGTGTGTGTTTTTAGTTTCATTTTTTTCCTTCAAATAAAAATATCTACATTTTGGATTTAATTTAAATTAATTATTATTAATCCAAAATTAAAAATCTTCCCAAAAATTCTTTTTACCACTTTGGCTATTTAATGGCCGCAGAAAATACCCAATTCGCGTTGACTCACATCTTTCTTTTTTTGTCTGTTAATAAAGTGGTTAGATTTATTTGTCGAAATAAATCTAGCCTATATTTTGTATTTATATCCGCAGAGATTCACGAAAAATTCTATTTTAAGAAGTTGAAATAAACACGTTTATGTATGTAAAAATACAAGAACTAATTAGACTAAAAATCAGAATTTTAAATAAAAAATACAAGGATCAGAATTTTTAAACAAAAAATACAAAAATCAGAATTTAAATAAGAAAATACAACAACCAGAATTTAGGTAAAAAATACACAAACCAGAATTTTTAAATAAAAATACAAAAATCAGAATTTAAAATAAAAATACAAAAATCAGAATTTTTAAACAAAAAATACAAAAATCAGAATTTAGAATAAAATACAAAAATCAGAATTTAAATAATAAATACAATAACCAGAATTTTTAAATAAAAAATACAAAAATCAGAATTCTGAATAAAAAATACAAAAATCAGAATAATAAAAATACAGCTCTGAAAAATTTTTTATTCTCTATTAATTAAACCTTACCATTAACAAAAAGTGTGTGTTTTTAATTTCAATTTTTTCCTTCAAATACATTTTGGATTAAATTTAAAAATTAATTATTAATCCAAAATTAAAAATCTTCCCAAAAATTCTTTTTACCACTTTGGCCATTTAATGGCCGCAGAAAATACCCAATTCGCGTTGACTCAAATCTTTCTTTTTTTTGTCTGTTAATAAAGGGGTTAGATTTATTTGTTGAAATAAAACTAGCCTATATTTTGTATTTATATCCGCAGAGATTCACGAAAAATTCTATTTTAAGAAGTGAAAATAAACACGTTTATGTAGGTAAAAATATGAGAACTAATTTGACTAAAAATCAGAATATTAAATAAAAATACAAGGATCAGAATTTTTAAACAAAAATACAAGAATCAGAATTTAAATAAGAAAATACAAAAATCAGAATTTTTAAACAGAAAATACAAAAATCTGAATTTCGATAAGAAAATACACAAATCAGAATTTTAAATAAAACACAAAAATTAAAACACTTAAACGTGTTTATTTCACTTCTTTAATTCCCATATACATTTTGTTTGTGTTTTTATTGTTTTACATTATTGTTTTCCATACTTTATATATTTTTTTTCAACTGCAGTCCTTCAGCTGTGGAGTCTAGAAAATTCATCACCAAAAAAACGAAAAAAAGAATTATTTCAGTGGAAAATACAAGGTATTTTGTATTTTTCCTTTTGTATTTTTTGTATTTTTGTTTCAGAAAACCAGAATTAAAAAGAAAACACATTTTCTAATTAAAAATTCTGATTCTGAAAATACATATATTGTGTTTTACGAACTTTTGTATTTTCTCTTTTGTATTTTTTCAGAAAACCAGAATTAAAAAGAAAACACATTTTTAATTTAAAATTCTGATTCTGAAAGTAATAAAATACATATATTGTGTTTTTACGAATTTTTGTATTTTTGCGCAACAAAAAGAACATTTCCTCAAAACACAAGAAAATACACATTCTGTTTTGTGTTTTTACTATAAATATTGTTTTTACTCGTATTTTGTATTTTTGTTGTTTTTAAACAACACAATTCCATTTAATTATGGAGAGTAAACAGAATAAATGTGTTTTTGTGCTGAATGTATTTTTTCGATTAAAAAAGATTTTTTTATCTTTTAATATATCAAGTTTATCTTTGTGTTTTTCATTTTTAATTTATTTTTTAAATTGAAATTAGGATTACTATTTAGTATAATATTTGGGATTTACCTGGGTTTGAAACAGGATATTTCGCAATAAGGAAAATTTTTTACGCACGCGTTTTTTAAGCCTGAGGATTTTTCTAAAAGTTTGCGGATTTTTTGAAATTTGCGGATTTTTTTAAAGACTTGCGGACTTTTTTAAAAAAAATTTGCGGACTTTAAAAAAATTGCGGACTTTTCGAAATTTGTGGATTTTTAAAAAAACTTGCGGATTTTTTGAAAATTGCGGTTTTTAAAGATTTGCGGATTCTTTTTAAAGACTTGCGGACTTTTTGAAACTTGCAGACTTTTTTTTTAATTCACAGAGGTTGCATTGCTTAAAATTTTTTTAAATTTTAGTTTAAAAAAAATTTTTTCCTTAAAAATTAAATGGATTTGGATTCTTTTGTCAACAAAACAATTTCTGTAATTACCGGAGATGGTCGAAATATTGTTGGATTAATGCGGGGATTTGATCAAACAGTAAATATTGTATTGGAAGATTCTCATGAACGAGTTTATAGGTACAGATTTTTGGAGAGAAAAAAAAATTAAAAAAATTTTCTTTTGCAGTTTGGAAACTGGAGTTGCTCAAATACCTCTTGGCCTTTACATTGTTCGCGGGGATAATGTGTGAGGAAAATTTGAATTATTAAATGTTTGCGGTAAAAAATAATTTTGAGTTATTATTTTTTGTCACAAGTTTATTCTTTAGGAGAACAGGTTCTTATAAGTTGTTTTGTTGTTGGTAGGAAAGAACTTTCAAGTCTTTTCTTAGACAATTTATGTATATGGGAAAGAAAAATAATTTTAATTAAAATTATTATAAATATCCTATATTTCAACCATTTTCACCCTTTAACCAATCCTAACCCTCAAGAAAAATGGGATTTTTAAATAATTAGACTTCATAGAAATAAATATTTACCGTATATCCCTTGATAACTACCATAAGTTGTTATTGTTTCGACCTCCCGCTGATTGGGGTAATCTATAGAAGCGGGGTAATTATTTAGGTGGGGGCAATTATTTCTTTTAAAAATTTATTTTTTTTGAGTTATTAACTTCAGGAATAATTTTGGTAAAATTTTTATAATTTGTCACAATCGGAGTCTGTTTAGTTCCGAAATTAGTATACCTTTACTTTAATATCTCTTTAAACCCCCAATAAATTTAATTTTAGAGCAATTGTTGGAGAGGTTGATGAAACAATAGATAAACAATTAGATTTGGAAAAATTGAAAGCTGCCCCATTACAACCGATTTGGATGCCGTAAAAAATAAAAAGAAAAATTATTGTTATATTCCCACACGATTATTATATTTATTATTTTATTAAAATAAAATTATCCCTTGTATCAAAAAATGTATAGGGCTCAGACACACCCCAAGGTACCGCGAGGCCAACTTACCGCAGAACTATAACTTTCTTCAAAATTGTCGAATCCGGGACGCCTTGGTATGGTTCGATTCAGCTCGTCGAGATGCATCGAACCATACCAAGGAACCATACCAAGGCGTCCCGGATTCGACTATTTTGAAGAAAGTTATAGCACGGCGGCACCTTGGGCTAGCGATATCTTATGGTGCGTCCGTACGGCTCGCTGATTTTTATTGCAGCTTTAATGTTTATTAGGGATATTTAAAAATATTTTTCTCTATTTTTGGAAAGCTAATGATCAAAGTTTATCAAGCTTTTTGCAGCAAAAAAAATTTTAAAAAATTTTAAATGGATTCTATATTTGGATTAATGACGCAAAAGAATTTAACAAAGTTTTTTTATTAACGGGTAAAATACAAAAATCGAAGGGATGGGCGAATTTATAAATTTTTATTCGTGTTGGATTTTTAAAAGTATGACGTTGGTTGATTTAATTGCTTGTAAAGCCACTGCCAATATAAAAGATTTTTTATCATGTTTAAAATTCATGAGCTTTAAGCATTATTAAACCTTGGGCGAGGGAAGGCAGGGAATGACGCACTCACTTTCATAGATAAAATCCGCAAAAGGCGCTAAATCCCCACACTCTATATGTAAGGAATGCTTGTGAACTTACATAGAATAGAAAGAGTTTGCAAAAGTTTAGCCACCGAGCAGGATTCGAACATGCGACCACCTGTTAGTTGGCGCTAGTCGCTTTCGCTCGCTATATGCAGGAGCTCTACCTCTGAACTACCGGGGCATCGACTAATGCTTTCTCTTTTACCCTTTTTGGTCGTTTACCCCCGCCTAAGCGTTTTAGATGCTGCTGGGTGAATCATCCTTACAGAATTGAAAAATCATAGTCAGGATTGGTCTTAGTTTTGGAGTCGAATATTCAATAACCCCTTAAAAAGCAGGTTTATTTTGAGAGTGCAGATATAAAGTGCTCAAAACGGCCGTCAAGAACAATTTTTCCACGATTTGCATAAAATTTCATGGGTTTGCAAATCAGTGCTTCCTATTGATATTTTTCTGATTCAACTAAACTTTCCATTAAAATTTTCTACTCCATATATAAAAAGCAAAAAAAAGTTGCCCTTATTTAATTTCTAAAAAATATTTTAGAAAATGAACAATATGAATATTTTGTTAATTGCTTATTCATTTTATTTAATTTCCCATGTGTTTGCGATTACAAATCCAACTACAACTCCAGAAAAATTTTGTGGAGATGTTGACCATGACAATGTATCCTATAATTATTATTTTTTAAATCTTATTAATTTTTAGAGTGCAAATTCTCTATTTAAAGATTGTGGTATGAAGGAAAAAGGTATGAAATAAATTTTTTGTCTCTTTTCAATTAGGGGTTCCATTAGAGGTTATTCACCGTTACCGAAATTCGGGGAACAGGGGTGGACGCAATTGAAAAAAAATTTCCCGCAGCCGCAATCCGCAACTCGCAATTTTATTTTTAAAATCCGCAGCCGCAATCCGCAACTCGCAATTTTTATTTTAAAATCCGCAGACGCAATCCGCAATCCGCAAGTCAAAAAAACACGCAATTTCACGCAATCCGCAATACGCAATCCGCAATTTTTGAAATAAGTGGTAGTCTGGGAAAATAAGGAGATTTGAAGTGTTAGGGAAGCTTCCATGTGATATCAGTGATTTGGAAGGATATAGAAGATTAGGAATTTGAAGGGATTGAGAGAGATTCAGAGCAGGGGGAATCCACCTTAATCCCTTTAAATCCGAGTCTATCCGCCTTAATCCTTCTATATTCTATTTAAATCCCGCGATATATCCAAATTCAATTTGGTATACCACTTTAGAGTATGATGAAGAGCAATATTAAGAGAGATAAAAGAAATATATTCTATATCCTTTAAAATCAAGATACATCCACTATAGACCTCTTAATCTGCCCGGATTTTCGATATCCACCAGAATCACCAAGTAATCTTATATTCATCTTAATTCTACAACATCCATCAAAGCTCCGATATCACCCAACCCAACAATAACCCATTATTAATCCAAATCCAAATATTATCCCATGATATTCCCTTAATCTCGCTAAATCCCCTGAATCTTACTAATCCCTAAATATCACTTTTAATCTCCCATTTTCAGCGCCGCAGGCGAAAATTTTGAGGATTTTGGAAGGTCAAGGGGCCAGATTTCTTTCTTTTTACCGCCGGAGGCGAAAATTTTGAGAATTTTGGAAGGCCAAAGGGCCAGATTTCTTCCATTTATGGTGCGTGAAATTTCAAAAAATTGCGTGAAAATTGCGTAAAAATCGTAAAAATCCGCAGCCGCAATACGCAATCCGCAATTTTAATTTTAAAATCCGCAGCCGCAATACGCAATCCGCAAGTCAAAAAAACACGCAATCCGCAATACGCAATCCGCAATTGCGTCCAGCCCTGTCGGGGAAGCAACCTATTTTTTTTAAAAGTCCAAGTGAGCAGTACTGTAAGAGAGGTTGCCCGGAAACAAATATCTTATTAGTTCTAAACATAATATTCTTTAAAAATCCTGGATGCGGTTCAGGTCGAGATAACTTCTTGGTCTCTAGAATAATAAAATTTCAATGATTATTAGTGCCATTCAAATAAACACATTACTAATTAATAATATACCTATTTATATTTTTTTTATTTTTTACAACAATTATCAAATTTTTATCAAGTTGCTCAATGTTGTGATGTTAAGACTGGGTAAAGATTTAATAATAATAATAAAAGTGATAGGTTAGGATTGGGATTTTAATGTGGGGTGACCGGTTCGAACGAGCTGGCAACCCTACTTTACTTGCCTTTTACCTAAAATACTCAACAAAAGGAAGTTTAATTTGAGACTTAACAGGGGGAGTGTGCGGGGTGGCTGCCAAAATAGTTTATTCCTGACATGTTTGATTTTCAGAAAATAATTAGCTAAGATTCCTATTTTTAGGATTAGGAAACTTTTCAGAATAACTATAACCGGAGTATACCAAAAAATCCGAGACTGAGACGAGAAATCGATTTTTAAAAAATAAAATTTTAAATTCAGAGCCTACGCTGTCAAAAGATTTTGCGGATGTATGACAACAGTTAAATTAAAGAAAATATTTTTTAGTTTAATTAATTTAATTTAGAATTATCTTTTAAATGCAAATTGTGCGAGTAAAGCAAAGCAAGTATTCAACTGTCCAAACTTTTAAATAAAAATGATTTTTAAATAATGTGAAGAAATTTAAACATGAAATTGGATGAATAACTCTGAATTCTGCTATATTTTACATACTTTCATATTTCATGCATATGTCAATTATTTCAATACATAACTAGGGGGCGGATTTTATTGAAATAAATTCGCCAAATATGGCCATAAAATATTGAAATAAACTGCCAAAATATTGACAAAAAATGCAAAAAATTAGTGAAATATTGAAATAAATTATGGCTTATTCACTAGTAAAAATAAAAAAAAATGTTGAATTTTAGAAAAAAAATTAATTCCGTCTTTAAAACTGCATATTAGGTTTATACTTCGATAAATTGAGTATTTTTACTCTTGTGCATTTTTAGACGGGCCAAATTGGGGATGGGATATTTATGTGATTTCTTCAGTGGGACATTTGTGGGGTTTCAGCGGGACAATTTGGGGTTTTTGTTCAGGAAGCGGAATTTTGGGGGCGCCAGCTTCAATTTAGGCTGAGCGACAGTTATTTTGCCGATTTTGTTAGAATACGCCAATATACCCCTTTTTCAGCGCCGCAGGTGAAAATTTTGAGAATTTTAAAAAGTCAAGAAGCCAGATTTCTTCATTTTTTTCTCAAGATTTATGAAAAATCCCAAAATTTTGGTAAAAATACGCAAAAATATTGAAATAATTTGCAAAAAGTGCGAAATATTGAAGTAACGGGAAAATTGGAAAAATATTGAAATATATTGAAATGTAACTTTGTTCAGAAACATAATATCGAAAAACTAATGGCATATTTGGGCTTCTCTCGACAAAGCGTATCTGCAAAAAAAATTTTATTTCAATAAAATCCGCCCTCTATACATAACATTTAAAAGACCAATGTGCTGTATATTTCTCATTCTACTTTTAAATAATAAAACTATACTTTAAATGGCCAACCCCCATAAAACTCATAATAGTTATGTCCTAGTGCTCTCGGGAATAAACTCCCGATTTGTGAAATCGGAAATTCTTGATAAAATTTTAATCTCTCACTTCGGGAATCGGGTCTGTAGACCCCTGGTTTTGGCATGTTAATATTTTCAACATATTTTTGTTATTTTGTTTGGACTCACACTCTCATGGGACTCATAAACCTTCATTGGAGTTATAAACATTTATTGGACTAGTAAACATTACCAGAGTCGAATCTCGAGCAGCACTAGTAGAAAAAACAACCCGTAGTGTGCCACCATAAGAGCAGCGGGATTATCTCAACCCAGTTTCAATTTCAGCTCTGAAATTTGCAAATAATATTATTATTATTATTAAATTTATTTATTAATTTTATTAAAAAAATTTTTTCTTGCAATATTTTATTTGCCCTTTAAAAATTTTTTAATTGATTTTATAAGTCGCGAGTCTTTTAAGAGAGTAATGGCATATGATAGCTAAGTGCAATTTTAATAGTAAACAAGTAAAGAGACGATTGAGAAATCGCTATCGAATCCATTTGTCAGAGCTGTTTCGAAATTTCGATTTTCTCGGATTTTCTCTTAATCTCGACTTTTTATGGTAATACTTTCCTGAGGAGATTTTTTAAAAATTGAATTTGTGAGTTAAACTGGAGTAATTAAAGGAGCATCTTAACCACTAGAAATTAAAAAAATTATTCACCTAGGGCGGCCCCAAGTGAAAATTTTGGCCGTAGGATTTGGTGTATTAAGAGAGATAGCGGAGGATGCGAGTGAAAAAAAAAGTAGAGAGCCACGACTTGACAGTGTTCCAAATATTTAACTTTTATATTTTTCAACTAATTTAGCTTATTCCACGAGATTGTATGCCTATAAGAGACAGCGCCATAAGACGCCGCCATTCCTTCACTGAGTCTGTGTGAAACAGCAGGCTCGAAATTTCGAAACTGATCTAGGTGGTAAGAAGGAATAAAGGGTGGAGCGAGTGTTAAAAATAGCTTATAATATGGGAAAATTAAACAAAGTCCTTCATTCTATAATAAAATTTAACTTTAATTAATATTAATTTTTAAAATTTATTATATATTATTTATGAATAAACTAAAAATTGTTTTACTTTAAAACCTCAGTTGGATTTCCAGGCTTTTTTGCTTATTATTATTAGGGATTTAAAATTAAAAGAGAAGGTGAAAGTTCGGTAGCTCAGTTGGTAGAACACCTGTACGTGGTTAGCGAAAGCGCCTAGCAATAACTGCCAGAGCCCGCAGAATAAATTCGGGGTTAGGTTACCCGAGTAACTTTTCCTCCACAAAACGAAGAAAAGAGAAAAATCCTTGCGCCGAAAAAATGAAGAAGAAAAGAAAGAGCAAAAGGATACGGTAGAGGTGGAGGGTAAAATTGTTACCATGCTAAGGGGCAGTGTAGACATTTTATTAAAAAATCCTTAAAAACCGAAATCTCATGGAAAAATTATAAAGTTAATAGTTTTAGATAGTTTGAAATGTCCTCTATTTAAAGATATTAATTTTGGAATTTTTTCTTTAAAAATCAATTTATGGCAATTTTTAGAAAAAAGTACCTAATTTTTTAGTCATTTTTTCAGGAGGTCGTAGGAACGAAGCCTCCCCGGGATTAAACTTTTACCTCGCACATTTTCTTTTAATAAAATAAAAATTTTTTAGAAAATTCAAAAAAATTGTTGAAAGGATGAAATTTTTCCTTACAATTTTTATTTTAATTTTTTTCTTAACGGATTCCTTCGGAATGGAGGGAAGTAGCAGCAGCAATAAACCCACAAAAACTAGATTTGGTAAAATGCCATCATTTAAAAATCTTTCAAGACAAATATCCAACTTGTCTAGTGCAAGTTCAACAAATCCAATTGATGATGCATTGGAAAAAGTAGGAAAAAAAATCAAAAATTGGATGCTTAAATCAAAGGAAAAAGTAAAAGAGGTGGGGAGAGATGTGAGTGAGGTTGTTCATAGAGGAGGTTGGAAAATATATTTTAAATAAATATATTGGAGCTTTCGAATGAGCTATTATTTGGGCTCTATCTTAGGACATGCGTCCCATGAAAGTATATGCTTCCCTTGCAAGTATATGCGTCTTCTCACCAAAAAAGTATATGTGTCCCCTCCCCTATACCACTTATAATTACCCTCCCTCGATTAATTATTCCCTACAGCGGAAGATCGAAACAAAGTAAAGCAGCTGGGCTATAGCTATTTCTCTCCTTTAGCTAGTGCAAAAGGTTAATCGGCGGCTGGGAGCGAACCATCATCTTCAGTAGACCGGACTGATGTGTTAGCCATTACAACACGCCGCCTACTGCTCAGCCTTAGGAAATTAATAGCTATATGCTTTACAACAATAATTACCCAGGATAGTTATTAAGGGATATACGGTAATCGTCATTTTTCTTTAAATATATGTCGGAGCAGCAGATTGGGTCCGGAAAGGTCTCCGCAATTTTCACATCTTGAATGTTAATTTTTAAACAATTTTTTTACAGAGCATAAATATAAATACGACGAAATATCGGAAAATCTGCAAAAATATGCCAAAAGTGGAGGCATTCTGAATTCTGTGTATAGCCAACTTGTAGAAACCAAAAACGAACTTGAGAATAAATATGGGAAGGATTTAAAAAATTTACAGGATTCTGCACATAATTTTTCAGAATTTGTTCTTTCAATTGAAATGATTGTGGCAAAACCAAAAAATTTTAGAAATAAAATAATTGGACAGATAAAAGCACATTTTTTGAAGGATAATGAAAAAGTTGAGGAAAAATATATTGGAGTAATTAAACAAATGATAAAAGATTATAATAGTTATGATGATGAAAAAGATAAAAAAGTAAATAATTTATTAGCTCAAACCATTTTTATACGGTTACCATAAGCACCATTACACTCTGTTCCAAAAGTATATGCCCACCTATATTTTTAGCTTTATCTATGTGATTTCGCTATAGATTTTTTTTTAAATTTTTTATGATTAAATACCATGACATTTAGAAACAAAATACAAAAAAATTTCAGAAATATGCGTTTTTGTTTTTTGTATAGAGATCAAAATCAAATATTAAGTGTTCCAAAAGTATATGCCCGCCTTTGTTTTATAGGTTTTTAATAGTGTGAAAAATCCACAAAAATTTTTGTGAACATATCTATCGATGTAGATAAGAAATACAAAAGAAATAAGTTCCGGTGTACTCCCATCATCAAGATCTTGAAGCCCAAAAATCAACGGAAAACCGGGGGTAGATGATTTTAAAAAATATTTTCGACCCCTTACGGTCGAAATAAAATTTTTATTTTGGGCTTATTTGAAAGCCCTTGAAATTTGCTACAAGATAGCATTAATTTTATTTTCCGAAAAAATTAACCTTTAAGACAAAATGTGATAAACTTTCAGGTCGTAAAAATCACTCAAACGCCCCCCAAATAGTGTGAAAATGTAATTTATAAACTTAACTCATTATTTCTCAAGGATGAATTTTTTCTAGATTATGAGATAAAAAGTATCTTGTAGCAAATTTCAAGGGCTTTCAAATAAGCCCAAAATAAAATTTTTATTTCACCTGTAAGGGGTCGAAAATATTTTTTAAAGACGTCTACCCCCTGTTTTCCGTTGATTTTCGAGTTTTTAGATCTCAATGAAGGAATTATATAGGAACTTCATTTCTTTTGTATTTTCTATCTATATCAATAGAGATGCTTACAGGAATTTTTGTGGATTTTTCACACTATTAAAAACCTATAAAACAAAGGTGGGCATATACTTTTGGAACACTTAATATTTGATTTTGATCTCTATACAAAAAACAAAAACGCATATTTCTGAAATTTTTTTGTATTTTGTTTCTAAATGTCATGGTATTTAATCATAAAAAATTTAAAAAAAATCTATAGCGAAATCACATAGATAAAGCTAAAAATATAGGTGGGCATATACTTTTGGAACAGAGTGTATAATTAGAGACCGGACAGTACCGTAGTACTACGGTATTTTTCGGTATTCCGTATCGGTAGTAAGGTACGGAATACCGACCGATAAAATTTTTTATTTTTTCCGTACCGTAATACGGCAACTCAAAAAATTCCAAAACACGGGCGACCAACTCAAAGATATACCAAAATACGGAACAGACAAGTCACGGGCTTACCAACTCACGGAACAAACAAAACACGGTTCAGAGAACCCTGATATAAAAATGATTATTTATTGAAAAAATTTTTAAAACAGAATTTTTTAGACCAGAATATTTTTAAAAATCAAAATATTCTTAAGAATAAAAATTTGTTTTTTAATTTTTATTTTCACATTTTTAATTTAGATTCCTGAAGGAAGGTAGGTAAAATTTTCAAAAATTTATATTTAAATTTTTATAAAGGGAGGAGTATAACGAAAAGTTGAAAGTTTTTAAAGAAAAATATGCCATTTGGAACAAAATTTACAAAAAATTCGATAAAGATGAGGTGGAAATTAGCAAAGAGATTCTAAGATTAAATGAGGAAGAAGAAAAATATAATAAAGCTTTTGATGATGCACGCGATCTTATTGAAACGAAAACACTTGCTGGTTCAAGTCATAAAAGGTCCCGTCGACGCGGTTCTAGAGAAGTTAGCATTGGATCTAGTGAAGAAATAAGATCTAATTTGAGTGGAGAAGTCTCTATTTACAGTCACAATTCAAATGAAAGTGGACGTGAGAAAATTTTATTTTTTGAACTATCCCCACCTGTCCGCAAAGACACGGGTAGGGACACCGCAAAATTTACGGATATAGTTTAGTATACCGGAGGTTTAGTTCCGATACAAGACCCATACCATTCGATTCGTCTCGACGAGTCGAAAGGTACTATCTTTTTTCGGAGATGCCTGTGGACCGAGATATGGGTCCCCGAGAATCGAAAAACCATAGGAGGGAGTAAGCAAATTTTGAGGTAAAAATTCGATTTTTTGAGTGATAGCTCATTACACCTCTAGATCTTGATTCTGAGCCAAGATAAAAAGGTAAAATGGTCAACGTAAACCTATGGATGCAGGCGAGGCGCTTGTGCAAAACCCCGCGGTTCGCGCGGGTTTTTGCGGCACGCGCCTCGCGGGGCCCTGATATAGGTCCTAAACTACAGGTATACTAAACGAAAGCCAAATTTACAATCTTAAAATAATGTCCCTACCAGGGAACGCGCCGACAGAAAATCAAATTCCCGATTTTCGGGAATCGTGATTTCACGAGAATTTTGAATTCACGATTTTCGTGAATCGGGAATTCACGAGCCAAAAATCGTCGGGAATTCACGATTTTCGGGAATCGTGAATCGGGTCGGCGCGATCCCTGATCCCTACTATTGACCTCAAAAATTAAAAAAATTTAGACTCTGATAGATCCACAAGCAGCGCAGGTCGTATTCTTAAAAGCGCTGGCAAAAAAGCCAAAAAAGTAAAGGAGTCTACAGCTTTATTTGCAAAGGGCATACCAGGGAACAAAATTGGAAAAAATTTGAAAACTTGCGAAAACACAATAGCACCAATATGGATAAAAATAAACAAAGAAATCGAAGACATTAATAAATTATTAAAGGTTATTTTTTTAATTTGGAAAGTAAAAAATATCAAGATCTGCATAACCTTTACTGCTGGGACCAAATACTGTAAAGCATATGGCTATTTAATTCCTGAGACTATGAAGTAGGCGGCGCTGTGTAATGGATACAAATCTGACCTGTATACGGAAAATGCTGGTTCACTCCCAGCCGCATAATAACCTTTTGCACTAGCTGAAGGAGAGAAATAGCTATAGCCCAGCTGCTTTACTATACTTGAAACAAAAAAGTATCAAGAAACTCTGAAAAATGCTTTGACTATTATGGATCTAGGAAAAATCAAGGTCTAGATCCAGATCTCTAAAATTATCAAAAAATTTTAGAAATTCCAAAGGACAAATAAATATATAGTCTTGATTCAGAAATCCAAATCTTCAGAAGTGACACTTAATTATCATAATATAGCGTTTAGGCCAGGGATGCGCGCCATTGCGTTTTGGCGTTCCGTTTTGGCGTGATTTAAGAATTTGAAAAATTGGCGTGACACAGCCCTGGTTTGGGCCTTTCATATAAAAATATACTTAATGATACTACATACTATCATATAGGGTTGTAAAAGAGATAACCTATTTTACATGGATTTTCAAGGTCAAAATCTTGACTAATTATCATATATGACGTAATTTAAATAGTCTCCTGAAAATAACATTCTCAAAAACCTTTATCGGTAGCAAACATAAAAAATTTTATTATATTCAGGATATTGAAAAGTCGAATAGTACCATTGAAGATTTGCTTCACAAACATGAGGGTCCTCACCCGTATGACCAATTTGATACAGTTGGCGCCGATATTATTGGTAAAAATAAGAATAAAATTTTTATATATTTGTTGAGTCCGCATTTGCTGATATAAGATGAATGAATAAAAATAGCCAATCATCGGGTTGGATGGTAGCACAGTCTGTTGTGCCCGGGGTTGTTACATGATGGTTCAAGTCCATCTCCCATCCAGTGAAATTTTCCTCAGCTTGAAAGTAATACATACTATCTTCTTTGTTTTTTTGGCGTTATAGATGTATGTATTTAAGAATAAAACTGGTCAATGGTGTTGTATAGTGGTGTACGGATAGTATAAAAGCCGGTGAAAGCGTCAGTCTAGTTGGATCATACTAGCGGGGCTAGTCACTGATATCCTTCGTCTGTCCCGTTCCCTACGCGCGTTCATTGTAAACTCGAGTTTCGTCTGTAATAAATTTCTTACAGAATTCAATAAACTACAACATGCAGTTAACCAACTTGTTGATAAGGAAACGATTATTTATCTAATTGGTTTATACGATATGAAAAAATGGAAAGGTTATAAAATTGGTGAATTCTATCAAAAGTCTAAAGTGACAGCACTTGCTAGT